GAATGTATGAAGATTATGATTAATGAAGCAGTATTTCAATTCGTGACTTTTAACAGAAAAATGTTAAGAGTCTAAAGCTTTAATCTATAGCTCTCAATATAATCCACTTTATATTAAATAAAATATCATTATTGATTTGAATTTACCGGTGTAATCAAGCTAAAAGTTAGTAATTCTGAAAAATATCAGATTATATAGGTATACTGCATTTACTTACATACAACCACATTAAGAAGACTAAGTTTTAAAAAAACAAATAAATTTTCAAAGGAACTTAACGGATTGGAAATACCTGGACTGATTCTAATGCTTAGTTATGATATACAAATAACGGCATAATTTTTAGTGTGCTATGAACTTGGATCAGTACAAATTCCTTGTTAACCGTAACACACTATAATACTGTACGAAATTCTATTCGGAATAGTCTGTTAATTTTTTTTGGTAGTACAGAAAAATTGTTGTCTTAGTGATTATCTTAGTTTGCAAAAATTACATAAACTGCTATCGTTTTGTAAAATACAATCAAATTCATCCTAATGACTAATAAATTATCATGGATACTTGATGTCTATTTGTCTGATAAGTGAATATTTCCATAGCAATATATGTAACTGTGATACATTTTGTTCAGGGCATTAATAACATAATGTGCTAATTATGTAGTTTCTTATTTCAGTCAATGCAAATATATTTCACAATCAACATTAATTATCATGAAGATTTATAACACTAATACTAATGTAAGTAAATGGACTATATTGTAATATTAATTTCGTGAATAGTTAAAATTAACAGATAAATTAATTTTAGTGATTATTGGATCCAGGAATTGCTGTTATTAAACTCTCAAGATTTTATTGAATATAGTCTTATTTCATTACTAATTGTTCAGTGATTTGTCTACTCTTTTCTAATATTTTATTATTTGCAAAATTCATATCTTCGTTTTTACGAGATCATTAACAATATAGGCCAAGAGATATATGGGAATTTGAAATGAACGGATAGGGGATGTGACAATGGTCACTTTACTTAAAAATAATTCAATCAGCCTTAACAGATAACTTTTTAATGGTGAAGCGAGTTACTACAGGATTTACTTGTAGTTAAGATACATTTATGGCCCCCAAACGCCCTGGTATGGCTGAGAGTGAAGTGGGCCCGCCCTCCCTCTCGAAATGCTCTCACACGGCCACGCGTATACAGCTGACAGGGAAGTCCTACTCACTGCCTTCTCGTGGCGGGGGTGTTGTCTACGAAACTGAGAGGACGAAAAGCGAATGTCCGGCGCTTTAACCGGATCCCAAACCAATGGTGCACATGGGCTCCAGTATGCTGGGGGAACAAATGGTGTATGAACCAATCGTCGGTCACCGGCTACCATGGGACTGCATCTCCTAACGATGCTCCACTGCCTTGTTCTTGTCTTAGATTTAAAATCGTTCGAGGGCTTGGTTGGTAATAACGTGTAGTGAGCAGCCATTATCATTCGACCACATCAATCAATGTATATTATCTAACCAATCAGCATTCTCTTTTCTATATTAACAATCAAATATTTGTCTATTCTAACATTAGAACCCAACACCATAAGAAAATAGACAAAAATATTTTTCTTGAGACTATTTTTTAAAAGTGTTCAAAGGATCGATTTCTCACCGGCAAACTTCATAGATTTAATGAACATGATATGAAAAATCAAACTAATCTCTTTCTAATTAATCAGCATTTATGACCATTTTCAAATGATGTTAGAGACTTCCTATACAATTCCTTGATTTTCTTATTCGGTATACTCATTCCGACAGTTGCATTGTAATGTGTTGAAGTATAATTCATTATAAACAGAGAATAAAAAGAACTTTTCGAAAAAAATTCGTACATTCATTACATTTTCAAAATATTTTCTTTCGGTGTCAGCATGTCAGTTGTTTCACCGTTGTATTGCTGTAAATTGAAATGTTCCCTTACAATCAGTTGATTGGAAAGATGAAACACTATGCGGATACATAAAAGAGCACTATTCTTTGTAGTGATATAAAAGTTTAAAATAGTTTATCCAAAGCTTATTCCTAATAAATTCCTTTAATCGGAATGAATATCAACATACACTGACAGGAATGTTTGTATTCGTCGTTCAAGCATAACGGAGAATGTTGTAGAACCTCGCAATTAAGCGAGTTTATTGATACCAAATGTATGTGCCATGAAACAGATGACTTGTATATGATGTTTATAATGATCACCATTTTGAAGTGTACCCTTGAATTATTTGATTTTTATTGATTTTCGGGTTGATAACCAGGAATATATTATTCTTTGTCGGTATATGGATTCATCCGATAGAACGTTATTGGGCAATGTGCTTTCCCGAAGAATTCGGTTTGAATCAGAATAGAAAGAATTTTTCCGGATCGCTATTTGGTATTTTAAAACCTTGGGCCTGTATTTGAAAATGGAGTTCAAAAACTGGAATTCTTCATGACTAATTTTTAAGGACTAATCGAAAATTCTATAAATAGATGTATCTTTCCCACTTAATCGTCGTCGGTTGCAATGGTTTTTCTTTTGTCTTCTTAATTATTAGGGGCTGGATCAAGAGTTATAGTTTAAGTTCAACTGAAAGCTATTTTAGAGTCATAACGTTCACTACTACACCACTAATACTGTAAAAGAAGGCAATAGGCAGGTGAAATCTATAGTTACAAAGCATTAACGCAATACATATACATGACTTTCAATTTTGAATTGGTAAATCAATCAGTATTATTCCTACTCTACAGTAAAATGAAAAAAATATCCAATAAGAAAACGTGTTACTACTGAATGGGAATTACATTTGGCGACAGAACTGGAAAAAACTAAATAAAATGATATATCCCTGAGAATGTATCTATTTTTCATGAAGAAACCTAAATATTTCTGTTGGTAATAGCAAAATACAAAACTCACATTTCATTCAAAAACAAGTGTGACTTAAAGCCGATTACGTAAAACAATACTTGGTAGGTTAGTTACATTATTATTATTATTAGCAGCAGCAGCCAATAAAACAGATATTTCCAGCAAAGCACAACGTGAATCTCGTCACTAGTTTTTTACGGTTGATACAATCTATCAACTGGATGATTCTAAAATTATGACTATTCAACAGATAAAATACCGTATATTAGCAACTAGAGAATAAGAGTGATAATATCATTCTGCAAATACTCAGTAGAACCAGTAAATAACACTTAATGATTGAAAAGGAGTCGGTGTTATTTCCTTTTTCAGTCAGAACACTAACATACGAACTCGAATGAAAAAGCATTCATTTAATGAGTCGCTGAAAATATAAAATGTCGCTTTAATATTTTGTTTCCTTAAAGTAAGAGATTTGCACTACTACTAACAAAAATGCTCCTATAAGTGCAAAGTGAATATTAAATAATTTAATATAAAAAAGAACAAAATAAATAAACCCAGTATAAATTGCTAAATAAATTTTAAAAATCCCAAGTACGAGAAAACGTTTGTAAAGTCTCGGAAATTGGTAGTGACATCGATCTTAACCATTGAAAATCAAAATGCGATTTCATTTTTAATATCTTTTGTAGTCTTGGAGCTCAACTTTTGTGAAACACGTTAGTCCATAATTATACACATAATTAGCTAACAACATTCACACACTAGTTATTTACAATTCAATCTTTTATTACAACATATCGTAAATGTAAAAAAATGAATGTAAACAAATTTAATGACGATATTTTAGAGAATGGGAGGGTGGAAAAGACAGGGAATAATGAAGAAAGGTAACAACCTAAGCCTAGGAACTATATAATAAATCGGTCTAATAAAATAAGAAGTTAAATGAAATATTCATGGTAAAAGAATAGAAGAATACGGAACAATTATTAAGGTGCATAAAATACCTCAAAGCTGAGAAACCATTAAGTTAAACTACTTTCCAATTATTTAAATTCAATTAACATTAGTAATTTATTTGAAGATAAATTTCTCCAAGTTTCCTCAGTAAAAATATACTACATGAGATGTTAGAACAAAGATGAACTGAGAAAACCTATTGAGTATAAGATTCATTTGTATACGTTTAACGAAGTTCAGTGGTTTAAGCATGAAACTTTTCAATAACCAAGCAAAGATATAAACCTTGCATAATGTGTTTCTATTTGAACATCCAGTCTTATATTAAGCCATCATATCAATGTGACTCAAGGCTCAATATACTGATCATATTGACCGACAGTGCATATGACAAAGTAACTAATACTGAAACACCACTAAATAAAACCGATTACTAGACTCACTTAGAGTCAATTCTTTCTTATTGTTTTTTAGTGATAACAAGTATATGATAAACCGTTACTAGCAGAACTATGAAACGTAGTGATATTTTAAATGGTTCATTCGGTATGCATCATAATAGTCATGTATTCCACTTACGAGATTTCTGATAAGATTCTTCCTGGCATTGTAAAGTGGTAATTTGTGTTAAAACAACATTTTATTAGCGAAAAACATGAGTGGTTTATAATTCTAAACAATGAGATACGTAAATAAGTCAGTCAAATTGAAAACAAAATTTCCAAAAACTCAGTCACTCCAAACAAATTATTTATATATTCAAGTAATTTTGTTCACTACCAGAAAGATTGATATTGCTTCAGGAAGGATATTTATACCGTTAGTGATCGACAAATATTCTGTTTTCTTTGGAACTACACAACGCATTTGATAAGACGATCATTTCTAATCAAATACAAAACTTAATCAATGAACTATTAATAAATATACTAACATTTAGAGCCTAATAGTATTATAGCACTTCACATAAATTTCCAGTCATCATCCAGTTAGTAGTAAAAATAGGCAATTTAGTGGATACGAGCAGATATTTATTAAAAATATAAAAAGACTAATTTCTCGTTGATAATTAGAAGTAATGGACAGAAAATACATTACTTAAAGACAACCATACAAATTATACTTACTTGGAAGAATAGATTGATAACGATTTTTATGACAAATCCCAGGTATAGGCAATTCTTTTTTATCTGCATGATTCATAGGAATATCCCAAAACTCTTGAAATAAAGCTGTAGAATTATCGCGTAGTTTAATTTTCAATTGATCGTACGTTAATGGTAGGCTAGCATTTATTAATTGTTCTAAATCCCGATTACGTTGACATGTTAAATTGCCTAATGAACAAGGGAAACCAGTGTCTAATTTACAATGATGTATAGCAAAATGATGAAAATGATGCCGATGATGATGATGATGGTGATGATGATGAAAACACATGTAATTACATCGATTATTCACAAAATATTGTCCTTTATTAATTAATCCAACTTGAGTATCATTAATTGAATTATTGTGTTGAGAATTAACAATGCCATTATTGCACGTACTAGATGAAGATGTTAATGGTGAAATAGTCGTCGTGAAATTTTGTTGTTGTTGTTTTGGTATAATTGTAGTGTGTGAAAAAGAATTTAATGATTGTAAATAATTACACCGGGAGTTTACCTGTTTATTATTATTAGAACTACTCATACTATTATCATGTAAAATGTTTGAGTTATCAATATTATTAACAGAATCAATATTATTACCAGATTCATTTTCTTCTGACAAAACTTCAGCTGTGCATGGATCTTCATCAAGACTGCCACCAAATACACTAAACTGTGCTGATCCTACAGAATAGCTAGGAGTAGGGGAATCAATTGACGGAGATAAAGATAACGTAAGTGATGTACGTGATCCTCTACGACTGTACAAAAAAAGTAATAACATTAAAACAAAGAAATTATGTAGTAAATATCTAATGTTTTTACCTTAATTTGGAGAATAAAACTGTTAGATACACTTTTATTATCAATGATATCAAAAAATATGTTAGTTCAAATTCTGGAGCTAATGTGAATTCTCTACTGATTGCGGAAAAATTATTTTATTGAGACGTAATCACATTCTGATTCTAGGGTTTAGGTCTAATTACCTAGAACAGATGATGTGGACAAGAAAAACTCAATAATTTGTTGAAGAGTGCAATAGTTCATCAACATTTTGCAGCTTTATTTGATAAGTAATAGAAATATGTTTCAGCGAATGAGTCCTGTAAACAATATACTGACTATTATATGTACTGTAAGAGCAGCATATTACGTAGACGAAAATTTAAAATGAGTACGCCAGAAATATAGGAAATACTTACTGAAAAACAGAAGATATGAACAAAATGCATTCAATTTACTTGCATAAATCGGTCGAAGCAAAGCTCAATAACACAGATTACTCCGTATTAACGAGTAACTAAACAAAAATGTTTCATGATAATTCAAAAGGCTGGAGACATAAAGTTTGACGTTAGTGAAACAAGTGTTAATAGAAGATAGTTTTATTAAATGAAACGATTTTCGTAGGTTAACTCAGTCAGATATATTACCCTAAGTTAACAAATGTCACCATATAAATATTGCTAATTCGTGAAACAAAGCAAAACCAAGTATTTGACCTAATTTAGTATGGTGATCAAAGAAAACAATGTAATTCATGACCCTAAGACGACCTGTTTAAACTCTGATTAGTGTTTGTAAAAGTTGATCCAAGTTATAAAAATCTAAAAATTCTGGAAGTATAAAAAGGTATCTTAATAGCAAAAATGGAGGTCGCATTTAAAAATGTCAAACAAAATATGTCAGAAATGCTATGAAGAATTTGTAAATAGCTTTAGGCAGTCGAATGGTATCACTAATGCTCAAGTAAAGTGTGCATCGAAGCTGAGCATCTAATCATGTAATTAGGTAGTTATTCGGATGACTCACTTACTAGTAATATAAACTGTTACTTAATAATCAGGAGCAGAAATTCGACACACCACCCGTTTCATTTATTGTGTTTATAACACATAATCACGAACAATTATCTGCCTAAAGCATATAAGCATCATATTAATCCATATCAAATTTCTATGTAAAAATGTTTGCTTTAAAATTAAATCTACTTACAAATAGGTGACAAATCACAAGTAAAGACAATAAAGTAGAAACTTTCACAACTGAAAATCTCTTTGTGGTGGAAAATTCGTCCAGTGTACAATAGGGAATCGAAATACATCAGAATAATGAACGAGGCATAATCAGTAACAAAAACGGATAATTAAAGCAAAGTATACCGTATAAATATAACTAGCAAGTTCTACACTCAACCCACAATAAAATAGATGAGTAAAATCTGCCAATCGTAAAGATAAGTTACCACAAAACATCATAAGCTAACTTATAATCAAAATAAAAAGTTTAACACTTAGGAATAATATCGATGAAATGATTAGTCCAGCGAAGGAGACCTCAACAAGTCTACTATCGAAGTTTATATATATATATATATATATATATATATATATATATATATATATATATATATATATATATATATATATATATATATATATATATAATGAAACATAAATCACACAGTCATTAGGTTAAACATAGTAAGCGGGATTATCATTAACAAGCATATTACCAAATTGATTCAAGCCGTTGAGTTACTTACTTTTACAACTGAGCTATATAACAATCCAGCTATGTCCAGAATAGAACCAATGGGTATTCGGGACTTATCTATCCTAGTTATTCTATACAGCCTGGATATCATAAAGCCTGAAAGTTTCTGTCTATCAAGTTGTTCAAGTGTAACTAAACAATTATTCGATATTCTTCTCGAGATTTCCATAGAAACCGAGAAATATCAGTAAGTCATAATTAATATAAACTCTAGTGAAGAAAATGTGCATTAGCTCACGTCACCGTACCGAATCAGTATGAGATGAGATTGGCAAGAATTATATTGAAGGAATCGAAACACCAGTAAGTAGTGTTAAAGATGAAAAGGACTAAACATTGAAGATATAGTTTGGATATAAGGTATGTATGAAAGAACATTGGAACTGAAAATTCAGTAGAAGGTAAAGGGTGAATGCAACTGAGTCATTGTAACTAATTCTAGGTGATGTCACCTAACTTCTTAAACCACTGATCACGCTAATCGCTTGGACTTCATAACCAAGTAGTCTCCACGTATCAAAACGGTTAATTCTAACAGTCAGTATTCTCATGCATGGATGCAACGTTTTATAGTTTGGCCATCTCTACTTGTTCTCCACACAGCATTTGTTCGTCGACGAAGATTTTGGTTGAGAATCTATAACACATGTCTCAGCCGCCTCAATCGTCGGAGATTTACAGCCTCATCCATAAATATTGTATCCTATAAAGTAACTACCATAGTAATATACTTTTATTAAACATTTAACTGGTTGGTTTCCAACTACACGAACTAAAGAAGAAAAAAACATTTTACAACTAGCAAAAGTATTTTCAATCTGTTTATTGAACTGTAACGGAATAGTTACTAGGTTTATATCAACATTACTGTGTAATGACTAATAACACTAGCTGACTTCTCAGCTCAGTGTAGGTAAAATAAGGTCCGTCAACTTAGCTAAACGGACTCTATATTATTTTATTCAATGGGAATAACAATCACAAAATGTCTCGTATACTGATAAGGTTTAACAAAACCTATATACCTTTCCAAAAGACCTTTGGATCGCGCTCGACGACTCGCAGTGAATCCAATGCCTGGATAGGTTTTCGGGACTTGTGTACTACCACCAGTACAACTAGTAGTGTTAGTACATGACGACTGATTTAATTCCTGAGTAACTGTATCTGAATTGGGACAGGTAACATGACTATAGGGTAAATTTAATAAAGGTAACGGTTGCGTTGTGATTAAAGTTTGACTACATGGTGCAGATTGTGATTCGCACGGTGTACAATGCGAATGTAAAACATCAGCTGATGTATTTAATATGAGTGGATTGTGCAAAAGTTGTGTTGGAGTAAGTGTGAATGCACCCAAACTATTATTCTGTAACATAAGTGAACTAGGCATTGGTTTACATGCTTGAGTGAATACAAATTCTTTAGGTTGAATATGATACAACTGAGTTTCAACTGGTGGACTGGTTGCCATGAATGAAGAAGTAAGTAAATGTGGAGGAGGTGTCTGATATCGACGATTAGCGATTGATGGAGAAAGTGATACGGGAAACTTTTTTATAACAGATTCCAAATCCTTCGATTCTTGAACTGAATCAACAGTACCATGCAATGAGTTTGTACCATATTGTGAATTCAACCGAACAACATTGTCAGGAGTTTTTGTATGCAATTGAAGTATTGGGCAACAATCAGTAGAAATGCCGCAAAATTTTAAAAGTCCAAGCAGCGAAGTTTTATTATTGGTAAGGTTGTCTAAATTTTCAGCATTAGTTAATGAAGCATAATCTTTTTGTATCGTAGAAGATTTGTCTACATGTATTATTTTTTCTGTATCCACTGTAAGTTCAGATTCCTTTTGCCCAGAAGAATCATGACATCGTTTCTGATAGATACACCAGAATAACTGTGTAGAAATCAAACAAACAATTAAAGTTGAAGTCAACTAATGATAAACATACAATTGAAACAAGTTATTCAATCAATAGCACATAATGTGAAATGCGTCAAATATAATCTAGTCTTTAAAAATACATTATTATGCCTGTTTCTAGTCACATCATATAGTCGATAACACTCAAAGATAGTTACATGTGAAATAAACTGTAGTACATTTCTATTTTTATTTATTTAAACACATAAACATTGGTACAAGGAGACATCAAATATATATGTACCACATAAATCGTTCGACTTATGTAAGGGCTGGGATACTGTCCGGGTGCCCAAACCGCAACAGGTGGTTTTCTTAGAGGGCCACACCCTGAGCATTTGATCTAGGGGTCTAACCCACAAGGCAGTGGAGCAACGTTGGGGGATGTAGTCCCGTGGTAGCCGGTGACCAAAAATAAGTCCATGCGTCATTTGTTACCTTAAGATCCCGGAGCTCATGTGCACCATTGGTTTGAAATCAGGGTTTTCCAGCTCACCTAGGTAGATCCTCTGTATCAACCAACCCAGTTAAAGCGCCGGACATTCGCTTTTCGTCCTCTCAACTTCGTAAACAACACACCCGCCACGAGAAGGCAGTGAGTAAGACTTCCCTGGCAGTGGCTGTATACACGTGGCCATGTCAGAGCATTTCGAGAAGGATAACTGACTCTCCCCACTCTCGGTCGAACATTTGGAGACATAGTACAGTTCACTTAAGGACATTCTATGCCCAACTTATACGTTTCTTTAAACGCAGATATTTACAGACTTAGCTTCTTAACAGAGCTTAAGTTATGTGAAGCAGTAATAAACTTATTTCAGTAAGCTATAAATGATTTGATAAATCTCAATATACCTTCGAAGAAAAAACAAAATGAACACAATAAAACATTTTTTGTCTAAATGACGATGATCTTGTAAATTCGTCAACACTTAATCTGGGAAAAATCTACCTTGACAAATTCACAAACTACAATCACATGTATTAAATCCTACTGTAGACAAATTACACAGTTGAGATTATGTGTTTGTGTTAAGAAACTGTAATTATTAATAGAGAAAAAAGAGAGGACAATTTTCGAGTTTAAGACGAAATTGTGAAATGGATAAAAAAATATTGTAATAAAGAAAAACAAATAAACAACACATGATAGGTAAAATGGTTATGGAAAGAATATAAATGTAATAAGTAACACATAAAATGAAGTAAAATCTATTAAAGTAGAAATAGATATACTTAATCAGCTTACACACTGAAACTTTATGTGAATATATATATTTTATGAAACTAGCAGTAGGAAATGAACAAAGTAAATGAAAATTATGACCATATTACTAAAAATTTCGACTTCTTTTCCTGAAATCTCTTTTTATTTAAATGTATGCATATTTTTATAGTGAATGATTTATGAAGAGAACATTTCTAACTGATATTGTTTCCAAGAAAATGAAAGTCTTGATTGAGTTATTCTTTATTTGATAATGAAGCACTGAATGGGGAAATTTTTCGAGATCAAGTTAAAACTCATTATAAATATTTCAATTTAGATTAAAAAATCGATCAATCTAAAGATTCGTAGTCTAGACAATAAAGACATTATATTACCGTAAGTTTAAAGCAGTCGTTTAATAGATGAAACATCACTTTTCTTAACCAATAGGTTGGTGTTTTGAACCCCGATTTCGCCAACGTCGTTTCGGGTAACCGTGTACTATCATTATGCGACAAATAGTGTAGCTCCTAATTGAATTAACAGACGTGTACTTGGCAAAAAAAAGTTACTACACAGTTATAGGTCTGGAATCAATAAGGATTGATTACTATCATTATTTCTCACGGGAGTATTTTCAATAAAATTCATGCATAACTCGCCAATACACCTTCACGATGTTACTGAATTTAATTTTTATTTTTAATGGTTATAATTATTGTATGATACATACTAGAATACCGTAACTGCGCATCAACTTATGCCATTATTTGTGAGATTTCTTCTTTAGAGTTATGACTTAAGTCTCTGTGCTTCAGTATCAGGTGAATATATAATGGATCAGAAGATTACTTGGTGAGTTTTTGGAGAAACTTCATGATAAACTTTACCATATCGCATTTGTGACATGCTATATGAATTTGATTTTCAGTAATTACGATCATATGAATATCATGTGAGTAGAAATCATTTCGTTGGTGAAATGAAGAATGGTTGAAAACTGATGAAGACTACAGAGAGTTGTATTATCTTATTTTAATAATCCCCAAGTTACGAAAGTCACAAATCAAATATTTGGGTGGTAAAATCACTACTAATTACTGTCCTAATAAAACATAGGATTTTCTAAGTTCTACTAGTAAAGTGAAGAATCTGTCAAACACCAGCGACGAATTGACTAAACCTAAAAACCATAACTGTTTAAGAATTAGAGTTAGACGTTTTAATCTGAAATAAGTGTTATAAGTTGCTATAAACATCTAAGTAAACTTTCATAGTATGGTACTTCATTACAAACAAAACTCTTTAATTAATTAGAATCTGAAACTCAACCGTAGTAATAATTAACAACAATATCAATAAAATGTATTCACCAGATCGATACAAAATTACAAAATAGTAAAAAGAAAACTCTATCCAGAAAAAATAAATACACCCTCATAATCAATCAACTAATCACTAACCCTTTGGAAAATTGACTGGTCATCATTATCATCCATTGTAGTAGCCACTTACAATTCAATCACTAATTAGAAATAACAGTAAGAATTTGAAATTGGGACGACAGCCCACAAGAATGACGATTTTGTATCATATCGATGAATGTCAATCACCATATTTTTTTCTACCACGATATGCATTTCGAGTTATTTTTCCATAGAGAAAAGAATAATTTATTTTTTCTAGCATTTGTTAATACTATTGCACCAAATAACATTGTTTGTAAACTGTAAGTGCATTAATGAAACCTAGAAAATCCAACCAAAATTAGGTCAGGATTTTTTTACATATATATATAAGTACATATTTATTTATACGATTCATCTATATATGTATGCATATATTCTGCAAACATGCTGATTATATATATATATATATATATATATATATATATATATAGAGAGAGAGAGAGAGAGAGAGAGAGACTCGAAGTGTTGGTTCTATGAGGAAGTGTAAGCAGAGAATAAACACGATAATCCAGCAATTAGGGTAGTGACGTTGAGTAGCATAATGCAAATTATAATAATAGGGGCTGGGTAATATCTGCGAGATATACGTAATTACGGAGGGTTTAAAAGTAGGAAACCAACAATGGATCATACTGTGTATAGGATAAACTAATCAAATTAAATATTTCTGTTTTATCAAAAAAATCAAGATGTTAAGGATCAAAATGAAAAAAATCAAACGAATACGAAAATTGACTGAAGAAAAGGGAATATGAAATTAAAATAATATAAAGGTCGATATAAAAATGAAAGACAGGACATATTTTGTCAGTACATAGGGGTCAGACGTCTCCTCAAGGACATTTGTAGCTATTGCTGTTTTAACTAGCTGGGAATTAAGAAATTATAAAACGGTAGGACAAGTCTTATACACTATCTTTAAGTCAGTATGTGGCTTAGTTGAATGATCAAGGTTTATTAATGCTTACGAGTCGAAATCTTGGCTGCTTTTCTATCATCCTTGAGAAACTATGTTAAAAATGTGCTTTTGTGTACAAGGTGAAAATAAACTTTGACTAGGAGGCATATGCTTCTTCAGGCTGTTGGTTACTAGACAGTCAAAATGGAAGTTGATATCGATTTTAATACAGATTTATTGTTCTCTACAAAATACAGTATATAATCTAACAGGTAATGAAATGAAAAAATTCTTATTTTCTTTTCTAGATCTATATAAAATTTAAATGAGCTACAAACAGCAAGAATGGAAGCCATTTTATAGTGATCACGAAAGCAGTACGGAAAAAACTAAATTGAACTTTAGTGATTGAAGTGCTCATTTTCTAAGACAAAAATGTGGCATCTAACATTCTAAAACATATAATATATTGTAGTTATGCAACTTTAATTACATTAATGTTTTCTCGCATTCTGTATCAACCTGATTATGTCTGTAAAGCGGCTCGAATTTTGTTATCATCCTAAAGCTATATTATTATTATCACCATTATGACCATGCCACATTATTCGGGAAACGAGTCAAAATTTAATAACCAGGATTTTTGACATGAAACACTTTGGTATTTCACCAATATCGTTTACTATTACAAGCAGATAGCTGTGTTTAATTTTTCTTTTTTCACTTATTTCGCTTTAAACTAATCAGTTCTACAGAGAAATGGGTTTTTTCCACTTAAAATTATTGGTCAATAACAAGTACATTGTAAAATGTCAACAAAAAAAAACTACTACTACTTATGATTAAAATAATAAATACATAACTTACCGAAATTAGTAAAAATAATAATGTAAAGGAAATAATTTCAACAGTAAAATATAACGTGAATGCTATAGATTGATATTTAGTGTTCAACAGATGTAATCTCCGAATTGTTGATAGTATACAATTGGAAAAATAGTTATACACCGTGATTTGAGAAAGAAACGATGATGAACTGGATAAATTAACAATAAGAAGCATACAGGTAAATCACTCGAGTATTATAATAGTTTACTGTACAGTATATTCTATATATTTTTTCAAACTATGTACTAAATATTGATGGATTAATACATGTTTCATATACCATTAGCAGACATTCGTTGTACACGAGATCATTTTCAACTATACAATTCATTGAAGGTATGCATGTATGCATCAAAAACACAATTGACATTTAAACAACTAAAAAGAAACAATTTAGAAAGATAAAACCACTTGATATGACAACACAATATTGGTGATTTGCAACTACAATAAAATCTCAATTTAAAACACCAGTAGTGTTTTATTTAATAGTCATTAAAATTTTTTAAAACTAATCAAATTAATTTTGAAGTCAAATTCTCTATCAATTAGAAGACGATAAAATAAATCCCTTTCTAAGAAAGATAAATGAATAACAGAAAGTTTTGAGAACAATCCATAAGCTGCGAAAAACGAAACAGATGATGACAATGACGTAAAAATATACGACGTAAGCTAGCAAACATGAGACAGGAATTATATGAACTTTGATAATAATTAGGTTTTTTTAAATAAAACTGTTAGATAAAACGAAAATTTTCTTTCTACATTCTAATAATGTTTTTAGTAAGTGGCTAGACATAAATTTGACAACACATTTGATAGGTAGAAATGTTTCAGTCAAAGTCAATCAGATAATACATAAAAATATACTATTTTATTAACCAATCATAGATGAATGCTATGAAATTATCGAAGAATGAATATCAGGCTACTATTACAATTATTACCATTAAAAATAATTTTTACTCTAACCACAGATATATGGTAGTTTAAAAAGCATTTACAATCTAAATATGGTAAGACAAACAAGCAATTCATCTCAAACGGATGTTAAAGAATTAACAAAGTAATTAGAAAAGTGAATGTATCCACGTTTACTGCACAAAATAGATATCATCGTGGTTAGTGGGGGCCTATAGCATGAGACTATATTTAAGAAAGATCTGAAATACGTTAATAACATTAAAGAAGTCTCTGCTAAACCACTAAACTAGTGAATAACTGACAATTTGTCCCGTGGCAATAACTACCATAACTTTGACATTCATTTACAAGTAGAAACCTTCTTTATTACTTGTATTAAGGAATGAAAAACTGGATATAAACTAACCACTTTCCTACTTTTAGTAAGAAAAATTTGAAACTGCTTTAAGTGAATGAAATCATTCACCAACGTATAGACTGATAGATCTAATTTTTCATGGATGTAATATAAATAACTTTCAGATAGCGACACGCCAGTATATCATGTCTTCCCGCGACTTTTAGATGTTATTAAGTAATTCTCACTGTTTAGTTTTCCAAATAATACATACTAATTTCAAGAGGTGACAAATCTTACTTCTTACGTGTAACATGTTAGGAAGATCAGTTTTTAACTAATGGACCTCATGTGTCTAGTGAGAGGATGACCTTTTAATCAACCAGTGCTCGTTGACATTTAGAAATGATTGAGACATTTTTATCGCAACCAATAATATACATGTTAGAAGTTAGCACCTCCTTTCTTATACAAACGGTTGTGTTCTTACTTCTATACACTCTCAATCTAAATTCATTCTTGCTGTTCATTGTCAAACCAAGTTGGAAATTGTAGATAAAAGGAAACGTAACAAAACCCATTAGGATGACTGAGGCTTTTGCTTGACTCCAACTCGATACCTTAGAAAGGTATATAGGTCCACGATTCCACACTATATATCAGCACAGTGAGAGGAAATCGAAATGAGGAGCATAGAATCGAAAATATGGCAAACAATTGAAATAGAAACTATGAGAAATATAGTTACCAGCTACCACAATCTTGGAAAACTATGTGCGACCACGTGCTAACTCAAGTACAGGGTTTTCTTTAATAATAGCCAATATCATGGCTCGGAGTAGGTGGCGAATTTTTATGTATGGTGTGACTGACATGGCCCACCTTGGTATATGGATTCGTAATCTGATCAGCTCATCTAATAGCGACGTTGTTCAGCGAATACGTCCAGGTCCATATATTCATCTTTGAATCACACTTTGTTTGAAAGTTAGTTATGACTTAGTTGCTTGAACTAAGGAAGCGAGGTTCTGAACTTTTACTTAATTTACAGTCCATTTGTCTAAAACTTTGCACTAAATATAATTTACCTGATGGTTCTATTACTATACTTGTGACTGAATACTCGTGGTAGATGTAGACGTCTTACCGTTGATGACTATATATAAAAGCCATATAATAGAATTGAATGAACTATGGAGCCATATATCCGCCTGCTGGTACACAGCATATGTGGGAGTTTATGGAAGCTGGTTAAGCATCTGTAATGTTGAAATTTTGTTGGGGATTATTATTAGGGTCGACCCAGGTTTTGAAATAACTGATACAGTCTATAGATTTAACCAATTCGCTCATCACCCGTAAGATAGGTACTGATATGAACGGAGTGAGGAGCATCAACACGCATGCAGAAAGCAAGTTCGACTTTTTGCTCGAAATTTCCAGAAACTCGTAAGCTTCGTTAATGTTTCTCTCGACGGAATTGTTTTTAGCGTTCCAACTGCAGCAAAGTCATCCATTATCTTTGGCTCACCTTATTAGATAAACAAAGCTAATGATATTAATTGTAGGGTGGATAATTACAAGCTTCCCTGTGAAATATCATCAGTGGTTCGAAAATTCAAGTGCTATTGTAAACAAAAACATAGACAGCTTACATCAATAACACAGGAGTGCACGATTTAAACATCATCCGGGAGAAACAAAAAACTTGATTGAAATTTGCATATAAATTGTAAAAGACAGTTCTTGGATATGGGAAAATACTAATCTACACATTGATCATACGAACTTGGAAGAACAAAAGATCAGTTAGTAGGAGTGGCTAAGAGGAGATAAAGTATAAGTTCCTTCAACACCATTATACTGAAAGTATCAAACCGAGCCTATTAGTAGATGTCAGTTGATGGGCAATTACAAAGCGTACATATTTTTGTCTTAAGGAGAGTTTACACATACGTTTGTGGTATCATTTAAAACCTAACTCTTACATGACACCAAATTGTGTGCTATGGAGTAAAACCTTATTGTTATCTATTAGACTACAGGCAATTATTAATAAAGAGACTACAGATACCTTGAACAAGATCCAAGAAACAAAAAACAACAATCAATAACGGTCAATTAAAAACAAAGAAATTGAAGGCATAGGATTAATACATGAACATAGACAAACGAGTGAAGACTTGCTACAGATCTGACAAGCGAAAATATTTAGAGCACCAGATAGTTGCGGCAGAAAAAGCTGCAAGAGAAGAAAATGTGAGAAAACTATGTGATGCAGCGGAGCTAGCAAAAAAATGTGGAAAACCAGAGACACCACTATGGACAACGATGGCAAGCCAATCAATGAAATTCAAGAACAGCGGAACAGGTGGGTAGAACACTTTGAAATGCTCTTGAATAGACCATCGTCAAAATCCCACCGGACATCAAAGTAACCCACACGGACATTTGTATAGATGTTAACGCACCAACAACAGGGGAAATCAGCAAACTAGTCAAACAAATCAAGAATGACGGAATAACAGAACCAGATATAGAGGTAACTGAAAAGATGCTTTACGTTCTATTGGGAAAGATTTAGGAGGAAGAATAAATACCAACAAACCAGAAAGAAGGGTACCTGAACAGAATACCAAAGAAGGGAAATTTGATCGAGTGCGAGAATTACGGATGCATCACAATACTATCAGTACAAGAGAGTTTCCAACAGTGTTGCGAGACCAAACGAAAAAATTCAATGGACACCCAACCTTAAGATCAACAAAACGAGTTTCGTATGGATCGACCATGTGCCGACCGAGTTGTGACACTTCGGATCATTGCCAAGCAACCGATTGAATGAAGCTAGTCACTATACATCAGCCTCTTCAACTACGAGAAAGCATTCAACAGTGTAGATAGGAAGGTTTCGTGGAATCTCCCTTAACATTATGGAGTACCTTACGAGACTATCACCATCATGTGGAAATCTTACGAGTGACTGAAATGCGAAGTTGTGTCTAGAAGACAGCTCGTAAACGCATTCCAAAGTCAGAATTTTTAATAAGAACGTTGAAAGCTTTATTGTGGGGAGATGAAACATGGAAAACTATTACAACCAACATGAAAAAAGTAACAGGTTTTTATAAATAGCTATTCAGAAGAAACTCTCCATATCCATTAGCCAGACATCATGAGGAAGAACCCATTGTGTCAGCGAACAGACAGGCTTTCATATGAGCAGAAAATTAGGGAGACACTCGAGACGATCGGTGGCACTGTATGAAAATCAAACTGCATAGAGTCAAGCCCTATCTTGGAGTTAAGAGAAGCGGGAAAGAGGCAAAGAAGACTGCCGCGCTGAGAATTGGGGTCAGATGTCAGAGAAGTGAGTATCATTTGGGAAAGACTGGAAGGGAGAGATCATGACAGTTGGTTGGAGTTATCTGGTCGGCATAGGCTGCCGATCGAAGATAACAGGCATAAATAATAACCAATAACGTAGTAGCTTCGTAGGTTTAGAACTTTGTTCTCGTTCACATCAGAATTTTTAACACTACCTAATTAGGCCATAGAACCTGGCTACGACTACAAGCCCCTGGAAACAGTCATAATCGTTAGCTCATAAACATGTACTTAACAAATAACCTATAATTAGAAGTAGTTAAAAGTTACTAAAAGCCTCCCAGCCGTTCGTATCATATAGGGTGAAATTTTAGTTTCTGAGGGAATGCTGTGAAATTTGGTAATAATCCCGAATAACCTTTTGCATCTTCTGAATTCATCTTAAGTGTGAAACATCTATTTTGACACGAATTCTTAGAGTAGTGAAATTGTTGTAGTAAATACTTTGCCAGAGGAGAGCCTAGGAGTACATACTTCATTCACATAATATTATCAGTAAGAAGGAATACTATCTATCGCGTAATTTACTACATCCGTTCAAGAAGCTTCGATACTTTGGACGTGGCTTCACATTCACCAGAGAAGCCGAGGGGTCAGGAACACGCATCTAAAAATAGGCTTTTAATTAGTTAAACAAGACTGATACAAAGTAACAGTCTAATGATACACAATATACAAAAGTATGGTTAAGAAAAGCATTATACTTTGGGTTCGTGCTTAATTCAAAGTCAAAAGCACGAGTTTGAGGTAAAATCAATTGTTATCGATAAAAAACAAGGCAGACGGAACTCTAAAAATCAACCTTTTGAAGTAGAGCTGAGTAAAAATAACATTGACGTATTTGCAAGTATACCGCACACTTTGATATTACTGCCAATCTATCCAACGCTCAATATCCAATTCTAAATTTCATAACTCAAACTTTGCTTGCGTAAAATAGCAAACTATTTCTTTTATACGAGCTACATCTGAGTTGTGGGAAAGAAAAGGTTGTTACAGAGGGAACACGATTCTTGTCATATTCCTTCTGAATCACATAGACGAAATTAATAGTTCTATTCTATTGTTCTATAACCAGGATGAACCATAAATTCA